ATAAAAGGTCCATAAACGTTCCTTTTCCCATCCAATACGGAACACTTCCGACACATCCATTTATTAAGAAAGGACATCAGTGTACTTTACTCAAGGATGAACCCCTCCGACGAATTAATTAGTAACAAACAATATACTTTATTTACTCAAAAGAAAATTCTCCCGATTGAAGGTTTTAATATTAAAATCGTGGAATCGCTACTCCACACTGTAACCAACATGTAATCAATAACACAAATGAGTTTGTTAAATGATATATCTCATCAAGTCTGTTTCTCAATACCTGATAGAATAAGCTTTAACCGTTATACTTCGGGGTTGGGATACTTATTTTTCAGAATATCGTTCTTCAGATTATCCGATAGAGCATCTTTTCTTAACGAATTACATTTTTTGTAATGACAGATTTCACCTGGTCTCCTACACAAATGAACATACCCGATCACCACATAGCGTGCAGGGTCCAAAATTAATCCTAGACGATGAGAAATGAAAATGGTCAGCATCGGAATATAAAGCGCAGTACCGTCCATGTTGACAGTTGCCCCTATCGGAGCAATGAAATTGACAACACGGTTGTTGACCTTATTCTTCTTTATCAGTTCGTCCATCGTGAAGGGGAGAGCAGCCGCACTAGGCCAGACACAAGTTCATAGTAGACACTAATGGTATATCAACAGATAGCATGTTAATTTACTGTCATTTATAATCAATAAAACAACTTTCCACCAACAAAAGTAAAAAAATAATAGATACTGTACATTTTCTGAATATTAATATTATAAAGAATAGCTAACATATTACAATTAAATATATACGTGAACATTTGTTTGTGTTGACAACGATTAACATGCTAAGCGTTAAAGGGATGGAAGGTATACTATCACTTTGCAGTTTAAGAATAGAGAAACCCCAGGAAGTAGGGCAGGTGCTAGTGTTCGTTTTCTATGTCCAATGAGGCAATCGAACCACGGAGCATTTGGTGAAAAGGGAGTACGGGTTCAAGTGCTTAACCTTGATTCAATGTTAAATTTGTAAAAAAAAAA